ATACCCTGTTCCATGCACTATTTAGATTATCTGCAAAAATTTCGATTATAATTTTGTCATTTTCAAGTAGATTTCCGTAATTTATTTTTTTAATTCTTCGAAAAAGAATTTTTTCCGTTTAATTTTCTCGAGAGGTTCGTTGATTATGGATTTTCTTTAAATGTATTATTTTATTTCTAAATGTTTTTCTGGTATTTGTCAATGAATATTAATAGCATAGACATTAGATAATCACGCCAATATTAACAGACGTTACATGCAAACGTAGAATAAAATATTAATATATTTTTTTAACATTTTATTTCAACAAAACGGACACTGTACAAAAGTCGTCACTATCTCGAAACTATTTTTATTTTTTTCTAAAATAGTATTCGAGATGTTACGCCTGCCTATATATGATCTATATGCCTTTATACACATTTACAAGATTTAACCATTTTGCATCAGTTTCATATCAAACTAATGAAAACGATTTACTTTAACATAAGAAGTTTTAAAATAATACAGTAGAGCCTCGATTATCCGACCTAATTGGGGACTGGGGTTGGTCGGATAATTGAAAAGTCGGATAACCGAAAAGTATGAAAAAATCCATTATTAGTGTAGTATATTATTATATCCCATGTAATTAGTATATTAGTATATCGCTATTAACCTATTTTGCGTTGAATTTTCATCGATGTTAAGCCTAACAAAAATTTTTNTCTACGAGATTCTTAGAGAGTCGCTTTCGGTATTTCGATCGGAATTTTTCCCTGGTAGACATCACGAAATTTCCGGGATTTCGTCTATTATTACGTATTCATTAAGCACGTCTTCGATGTTAGAGAATGGAGTGTAAAACTCGTCGATTTCTATTCCTTCTTCGATAGAAGTTTCGTGTTCGTGGTATAATAGCGTAACGGGCTGTACAGACGACACGTGGAAAATGTCGTTAACGGATTTCGACAAGCTTTGCTAGAAAGAAACCGTAGAGGTTGAGATACAGTACGTAGCAGTTAACAATTCCTTTGGATAAAATGTAAGTTTGTTTAAATTTAATTACCTTCAATTCGTTCGTATTTTGTTTGGCATCGTCTAAAACTTTTTCTTTACGAAATTTCAAATCGTTAAGACAGTTAATGTTATTACGAGTCACAAATTCTGCTGGACTCGACGGCACGGTCTTCGACGAAAGATATTTATCGTATTCTTCTGGACTTAGATTTAAATTTTTGGCCGAAAAACACTCGATGCAATTCACAGCGCAAAGCTACAACAGAAAATATAACTGTGTAAAAATAATTTCGGCGACATTTATTGCTTTTCCGAAAAATTCGTCTTACCAGTGTGGTGTAGTAATATCCTTCTTCCTCTCTTAACAATCGATGGGGATAGCTGAAATTCTCTATGTATTTTAGATTTGATATTAAATACGGTGGATTCGATTTTAGGACTACGAATATGAATATCGGGAGAAAATCATCCGCTCCTCCTTCTACCTGCGAACAAGTTTTCATTATGTCGTATATCTTTCTACTGCATTCGACAACGCAATCGATTTTATCCAGTGTGGAACTCTTAAAATTCATTTCGTTTAAATCTAAGTTTAGAAAAAGAGTTTGATTTTTCTGAATATTTATATTAATTTGACTAAATGTGAAAAGAGACGTACCCGATACGGCTAAATCCAAAATGTCTCTCACGGCTTCCAAGTTTACTTTCGAATCCAGATGTTTCGGAGTTATCCAATAATGATCGTGAATTCTTTTTTGAATTGCGGCATCGTTTTCGCTCTCTTCGAAAGTAATACATTGAAATATAACCTTATTTAATCTAGCAGTTAAATATTTCTCCATCATGTATAAAATTTTCCACTTGTCTTCGTACGACAAAGCTGAAAAAAACGAAATAGGATTTTCAAATTTAAAATTTAGGCTACTAGAAAGATGACAAAAGTTATGAATAAATTGGTATAGAAACTTACATTTATACACAGAATTATTGGCCATATGCTCTTCTGTAGTTTTGTAGAAACTCAAAACCATGTGAGAGAGTCCATTAAGAGTGTTGGTTTCGGATTCGGCCAATTTTTCAAGAAAATGCTGTAAAAGTTTTTTCACGTCGTTTTTCACTCGTCTGCTAAGTTTATATTCTTTCGATAATTTATGAAACTGTTCCGTGATTTTTTCCTCGCCTTTCAATAATTCTATTCTTTTTTGCAGATCCAACGGGTTCACTGAAAATAAATTCCTATATAATATATAGTAGGCCTATATACAGACCTATAATATATAACGTATAAGTAAAATATAAATAAAGATGATTAATTATCTATTAAATTAATAATTAATTACGATAACGATAACAAAATTAAGATAATATTGAATTTAATAACTAATTTCGTTTTAATATGAATAAGAGCGTAGCTTTTTTAACCAATGCAAAAAAAAAAGTAGAATTAACGTTTTACCAATTAGCATTATTAAAGCTTTAAAGAACGTTTCATTAATTATGCAGTGTCATTGTTTAATAGTAAGGGTAAGTAATTAGAAGATAAATCGTTTATCGAGTTCTCGTCATTACTCGATATGGCAGTGACGTACGTCATTATTGTTTTATTCAATGTGAAATAATTTTTAGATCGTTTTCTAGATTAGACAATTATGACGAAAACACTTCTTTTAATAATAGAAGACAGGCGGAATAATACAGAAAATAATAATTTCATTTTTCTAAATAACGAATAATGTTACAAATACAATAAAAATTTTGCGTATTGTAGGGTTCGGGGGCCGTAAAGATTTATTACGCACTTTTTAGGTAGAGTCCTGCCACCAGGTGTGTTTTATCGGACACACCGCCGTTTGAGATGAAATGGATGATTAAGGCGCGAGGGTAAGAGTCACTCTGAAGTCCAGGAATGAGCCTCTCAGGAGGAAGAATGCAGAGTCAGATATAACCAATTTAAGGACATTTATTAACATAAACGAAAGTTTGGAACAGAATTATAAAAGCCGATTTTGAAAATTTGTCTGTTTTTATCTATACAACGAGGGGGTGCCTAACGGGGGGTATTCGAACTTACGCGACTCACAACATACCAGATAAACAAGATGTCTTCTCTTGTGACGTGGACTTGACGGCCAAGACTGCGGAGGTTTATGGCGTTCGCTGCACTTCGTCTTGTGCTTGCTCGTTTTTGAGTCGTCTTCTCTTGAACCACTCTTTCTCTGGTTGGAGCTGTGTCCACAACTGCTGACTATCTCACTGTCTCTTTCTGACTGTCTTTCTAACTGGACTGTGTACTCATCTCTAACTGCCTTTTTTCTAACTGCCTGGACTGTGTCCATCTCTAACTGAACTTTCTCTGGTTGGAGCTCTCCTTTTAAACCTTTACAGCATGAGATAGTTCATCATCGGGTGATGATTCATTGGCAATGTCATCATTGTCGCTGAGGCATTGTTTTCTTATTTGGTGATGACATCGAGCCTTCGTAGAGTCATCTCTGAGTTGACATAACTCATCTTTGCTCTTAGTCATTGTTTGTTTGTTGATTGCTTTGGCTGAGTTCTTTATGTAAACATTGCCGAAAACAAGGGGGATGCAATGTTCCTTATTTCTAAATGTATCCTTCATAATTTTTGATTATTTGGTCGCTTCTTCCTTTCTTCTTTAACATGTTGTGAGATTAATTTAAGTTAATATTAAAATTTGGAAAAGAGGGGGTCCCTAGATTGGTCAAATAGGCGAATTTTC